GCTCCGCGGGAGAAAGATGAGGCTTTCTACTCCCGTAAGGATTTACACCCTTGGAAACCCTGTACAGGGTCGCTATGGGTCGGAACCGACTCGAAGGCACTTGACAACAACAACAACAACAACAACATGCTACTAATTAGCTGTGGAATGCTAGCAAATCACTTGACCTCTCTAAACTCAATATCTCATCTAGACCTATGGGCTGTTGTTGTTAGGTGCGGATGAGTCTGTTCTGATTCACAGCGACCCTAAATACTGTTTCAGTTGGATTAAATCATCCTTGCTTTGGAAGAAGGAACCCTGGGTTTGGAATGAGAAACCAGGTTCCAAACTGGGCCTCCCCTTAACACCTATGTAACATAATCCCTTTGAGCCTCAGTTTTTTCATCTGTGAAATGGAGCTTATACCATCCTGGTAGAGTTGTGTGAGGATTATTGAGAGAGTGTGTTTGAAACCCTTGCAGATGGCTCAGGGGAGTTAGTTACTGATCCTGGTTACCCATTAAGCATTTCCCTATGTTGTGGTCTTGTGGCTAGGGCAGTGGGGACAGTGATAAGGCTGTAATGCAACACCTTCCACCAGGGAGTCAGTTGCTGCTTGACATCTTCCTAAAGTCCATCATCTGTACCAGCTTCCCTCAGAAAGGGGCTATTAAAAGATGTAGACATCCTTCACTGAGACCATTCTTCAACAAAGCAAAAGGCCAAGGACTAGAAAATTGGGCCCCGCTTTTCTTTCTTGTCCTCATTAGCTATTATTTGCAGCATTATTTTGCCCCATTCTATAAAATGAGAATAGGAAAACTAGACCACCACTCAGACTTAGGGGAAAAAAGTCAATCAATGTCCACTGATTTGTACTTTCCAAAGTGCTTTCACATCATTTAGAGGGCATCCCCTGCTCTGTCCCCAACTTACTCATCTGAGCAGGACTCCAGTGCCTCGGTGGGGAGGCGGAGAGGTCCTGGAGGTGGTTGGAGTTAGCATTGGGCCTCAGGGGCTCTCTCTGTTTTCTCTTCCAGAGGGCCCAAGACAGCAAACAGACCAGCCAGCCCCTTGAAAGTGACAGCTATGGAAAGAAGTGGCCTTGAGCAGCAGCCAGATAATGGACAACTTCCAAGGTCCTGGCTGTGCCCTTGGGAGAACAGAACACCCAGCATGATGGCCCCCCAGCCTCCCAGGGCATGGAGGGTGCAGCTCCCAGGCCCCTCTGTGCTGGAGTTCAAAGTGAGGGCCTTGAAGGAGAAGAGGACAGTGGGCAAGCACGAGGAGAGTCCTGGCCCCAACTCTCACGAGCGGCCATCCTCCAAGAAACCCAAATGTAGACGAGCCAAGGAAGGTGTAACCAGGGCTCTGGCAGAGGTGTCTTTGCCGACAGATGCATTGGAGGAACCCCATGCTCAGAACCTGCCTGTTAATGATGAAGAGCCTGCCATGAATGAGTGTCCCAGGCCCCCCAGACCTCCTGCCCCTGGGGTGGAGTGCTGGCGTGGGAGGAGCCGGTGGCCTCCGGAAGCAGCATGGGCACTGCCTGACCAGGAGAGAAGGCTACTGCCAGGGCCCTGCTCTCTCCAAGTGAGTCACAACCACAGAGCTGCTCTGAGCCAGCCTGGGCACACTGGGCCTTGTAACAAAATCACCCACATACCCAACCTAAAAAAAGAGAGGTCAGTTCCCCTTCGAGATGGTCTGGCCACAGGGGGAGAGCAGGACAGTGCCTCCCTGACCTCTGAAGAAGACTTTGTCCCCAGGACACCCCTGCTGGGGGCGCTCTGGAGAGCTGGAGAGCTGGGAGCCCTGGGCACTGGGAGCAGTTTGTTGTCCCTGTCTGATCGAGTGGAGAGAAACCGCTGTCTGCTGCAGGGGATGCTGAGTGTCTCGGGGCAGTGTCCCCCTAAGGCGGGGATCCTTGCCTGGACTTCATCCTGGGACAGAGCTGCACCAGGTAAGGCTCCCTCTGAGGTCTGTGTGGCAGGGGAGATTCCAGAAGGAGGGAAATGGGACAGAGTGGCTATGGAGAAGGAGGCAGGAGAGGATGGTGAGAAGAGTTGCCTGTCACCAGAATCATGAGGATGGCTTCTTATTACTGACATAGCTTCTTTATCACCTCACAGGCAGTCCTGTCTGCTGTAAACTCCCATGACCACTCAGACCAGTGGGAGGCTACCTTCTGTGCCTGGGTGTGGGAGCTACCATCACATCATCCCCATGGCCTGTAGCCCTCTCCACAGTGGTTTTTGCACCTTCTCTATGACGGCAGGCCTTTACCCCCTAGTTGCCCTTTTGAGCTGGGACCAGGAAACAAGACCTTCTCCCCATAAAGATGCCAAACGTCCTTTCAATGGAGCGGAATTCAGCCAGTAGCACCACTCAGTTGTATAACAGGCTGGCAAGACTCCTGTCCCGCCCATTCCAAAGGCTCATTCCTCACTCCACGCCTGAGAGACTCATGTGGTCATCAGTGTGGCAGTGTCCACCAGAGGTCACTGTGACAGTCAGCTTCCACTTCTCTGCTGAGACGTAGTCAGGGAGTCAAATTTATCTGTGGGGTAAATTGCTTCTGGAGAAAGAAATTATCCTCCATCTTTATTAAATGGAGCTGATGGCTTTATTAAACCCAGCTCATGGCTCTGTCCTGACCTCAGCTTCTGTTCTGGGCCCTAGATCAGCTAGCAGGGGACGTGGACTGGGACTCCAGCATTTCCCTGCAGGATTCAAATCAGAACAGGTAAGAACTCAGAGCAAACAGTATCTGTCCCCCCTGCCTTCTTGTCTTCTCCACTGATCCAGTGCCAGAAAATCAGGAGCCCTCTCGAAAGCAAAGGGGACAGCAGACTAGTGTGGACAGTGGGTCATCATCCCTGAGACTGCAGAAAAGTTTCAAGTGACCCTTAGTGTCCCAGGCTAGAGCTTCTCTGTTTCCTTGAGCAATAGGGTTGAGAGGCATAGTACTTACTAGGTGTTGTTGTTGTTATGTGCCGTGGAGTCGGTTCCGACTCACAGTGACCCTGCACAGGGTTTCCGAGGCTGTAAATCTTTACAGGAGCAGAAAGCCTCATCTTTCTCCTGTGGAACAGCTGGTAGTTTCGAACTGCTGTCTCTGAGGTTCGCAGCCCGATTCGTAACCACTACGCTACCAGAGCTCCTAGGTATAGTGTACCTGAAAGAGTCCTAGTGGTGCTGTAGGATAAGCACTGGACCACTAACCAAAAGGTCAGAAGTTCAAGCCCATTAAGCACTCCAGAGGAGAAAGATGAGACTTTCTGCTCCCATAAAGATTTACAGCCTCAGAAACCCTATACAGGATGCCATGAGTCAGAACCGAGTCCATGGCAGTGGGTCAGGGATAGTGCACTGGACTTTGGAGAAACAGACTAATTGCTGTGGGTCCTTGTTGTTAAGTGCCGTTGCGTCAGTTCCAACCCATAGCAACCCCATAAAGGGTTTCCTAGGTGGTAAATCTTTATGGGAGCAGAAAACCTCATCTTTCTTCCTCAGAACCACTGGTAGTATCAAATTGCTGACCTTGAGGCTAACAGCCCAACTCGTAACCACTATGCTACTAGAGCTCCTTTGTGGGTCCTTGTTGTTGTTGTTTTGTTAAGTGTCGTTGAGTCGATTCTGACCCAAAGCAACCCTGTTTAGGGTTTCCTAGGAGCAGCTGGTGAGCTTGAACCACTGACCTTGCAGTTCAAACGGCTATGGAATCTGGTGCACTAACCCACAGCGCCACACCAGGGTTCTTTGTGGGTCCTTAGGGATCATTTTTTCCTGCCCAGGCTGCTGTCTGTCTGTCTTTAAAGTGGAGGAAATTGTCTACTTTACTTCACAGCACTATTGTGAGGCTAAAATGAAATAATAAATGTGCAAGTCCTTAACTAGAGTATAAATGCAAAACTTTACTACAATTTCCTTATTAGTCAAGAGAATGTAGCCTGGTTCCACTGTGAGTTAGGTGTTGGCCTACTAACCACAGTCAGTGGTTCAAACCCACCAGCTGCTTGGCGGGAGAAAGATGAGGCTGCCCGCTCCCATAAATATTTGTAGTTTGGGACACCCTATCTAGGGTTGCTATGAGTCAGTGGGTGGGTTGGAGCTGGAAGGAAGGAACTGTATTGGTGCATTGGTAAAGTGTTCCACTGCTAAAAAAAATTCAGTGGTTTGAACCCACCTGCTGCGTTGCTGGAGAAAGATGAGGCAGTCTGCTTCCATTGGGCTGCGAACCACAAGGTCAGCAGTTCGAAACTACCAGTTGTTCCGCGGGAGAAAGATGAGGCTTTCTGCTCCCGTAAAGATGTACAGCCTCGGAAACCCTGTACAGGGTCGCTATGAGTCGGAACCGGCTCCATGGCACGCAGCAGCAGCAGCTACCATAAAGGCTTTGATGGTGCTATGAGTCGGAACCGGCTCCATGGCACACAGCAGCAGCAGCTTCCATAAAGGCTTTGTTGGTGCTATGAGTCGGAACCGGCTCCATGGCACGCAGCAGCAGCAGCTACCATAAAGGCTTTGTTGGTGCTATGAGTCGGGACCGGCTCCATGGCACACAGCAGCAGCAGCTTCCATAAAGGCTTTGTTGGTGCTATGAGTCGGAACCGGCTCCATGGCACGCAGCAGCAGCAGCTTCCATAAAGGCTTTGTTGGTGCTGTGAGTCGGAACCGGCTCCATGGCACGCAGCAGCAGCAGCTTCCATAAAGGCTTTGTTGGTGCTGTGAGTCGGAACCGGCTCCATGGCACACAGCAGCAGCAGCAGCTTCCATAAAGGCTTTGTTGGTGCTGTGAGTCGGAACCGGCTCCATGGCATGCAGCAGCAGCAGCAGCTTCCATAAAGGCTTTGTTGGTGCTGTGAGTCGGAACCGGCTCCATGGCACACAGCAGCAGCAGCTTCCATAAAGGCTTTGTTGGTGCTATGAGTCGGAACTGGCTCCATGGCACACAGCAGCAGCAGCTTCCATAAAGGCTTTGTTGGTGCTATGAGTCGGAACCGACTCCATGGCACGCAGCAGCAGCAGCTTCCATAAAGGCTTTGTTGGTGCTGTTAAGTGCCGTGAACTCAGTTCCAACTCAGCAGTCCTGTATAGGGTTTCTGAGGAGCGCATGGTGGTTTGAACCACTGACCTTTTGGTTAGCAGTCCAGTGCTTATCCTACAGCGCCACAGCAGGACTCAACCTTGGAAATCCTATAGAGCAAGTACTGCTCTTCTGTCTTGTAAGGTTGCTAGGAGTGGAAATTGACTTGTTTTTGATTTTGTTTGGATTGTTTTCCACCCTCACTATGGTTTCTCACAGATTTTGTTTTATTCCTCCACCAATGATTTGGGGAAGCTGGGCAAACTGGGGTTGGGGAGAAAGGCTGCTGTTCTGACACAGTCTGTCTGTGGGAGGTTCAGTAGGGTTAGGGGTAAGCGTGAACTCCATCTGTGGCTGGAGTGTCCTCAGAGGTAGACATCGCTTTGGTTTTTTTGTTTGTTTGTTTGTGGGGGGAGGGAGGATGTCCACCAAAACACTCAGGAATATATGATCATTTAAACAACCAAAGGGCACATTCTGTAAGCCTTCAGGCTTGGTTTTTGCTGTGCTCCAGTCACATGAGGCTCGGAGCGGTCACAGAGCTGGGAGCCGGTTTCTGCTGATGGCAGAACTCAGCATGCTGCTTCTCTTTGATCGGATTGCTCCCTGCATACATTTTATTCTGCTTGACCTACCCTGTGGAGAATGTGCACAGGTTCCCCAGTCCTGCAGCCACCTTTGCAACCCCAGATTCAGGCGATTCAGTAGCTGCTCTGCTCCTTCCCGTCCTCAGCCTCTCTGGCCCAGGCCCTATGCCGAGAGGGATATCAGCGCCTTCCTTCCCTCATTGTCTATAATTTGGAATCATGGTTGCCTCCTGTTCTGCCAGGAGTCTTCTTCCACCTCCACAGCCAGTGTTTTTAGCCTCTGGCTAGGACCTCACCTAGCCCAGCCCTTCGGTTGAGGAGTGTGAGCAGAGAGAACAGTGGTGCTCTATGGTACTGCACCACTTTCTGCCTTCACGTCTCTCCTTCACATCTCTCACATCTTCCAGTGTGGAGAAGGAGGAGGAAATTTGGGTGGATGGTCCTTCTATCTTGCAGCTGCTCCCCACTCCCCCAGCGGAGGCCCTGTCCAGAGGCCACTATTGAAAGGACAGGCCAAAGCCTCTGACCTCGTGTTGGATGATTTTGTTGCTGTTAAGTGCTGTTGAGTTGGTTCTGACTCAGAGTGACCTTGTATAGGGTTGCCCAGGAACAGCTGGTGGGTTTGAATCGCCGACCTTTTGATTCGCAGTCCAGTGCTGATCCTACAGTGCCACGAGAGTCCATATGTTGTATGACATCATATGAGTAATAAAAACCACCCTTTTTTTTTTTATGGAATATACACTATTTATCAACAATCTCTATACTAATGTACAATGGTGCTGAAATTAAAAAGGGTACCAGAGGGAACGCTCAGAAGAACCTATATACAAATAACAATTATTGGAGATTAACCATTTAAAGATTTAGAAATCATTTTCTATACAAATAACACTTTAAAATGTGTTGTTTAAAGGAAAGCTGCAGTTAAAATCAACTTTATATGGATAGTTAGTTTCCATTCCCTTTTCTATAATTTTGCTCCCCAGAGCTGTATTTGATCTATAAACCTCTATAAAGATCCACCCATCCAGAACCCAGCAAAACTGCAGTTTTCCTTTAATGTAAGCTTCTTTAATGTTAAGAATAAAATTTGGTATCCGTTATATTATATTTTAGAAAGGTCTCCCAAACACTTCAAATCTGTATAGACTTATGGGGTGGTATTAGCCACCAGCTGGTGTATACTCTCTGGCAGAGTAATGAATTTGAGTTTTGAGAAGCATTCAGTATGGTACGGTTCACGGGTAGTGGGTAGGGTAAGTCCAAAACTCTGCCAGTCTCAAATCCATACAGTTGTTCATTCCATTCAAGATATTAAATCTTATTGAATACACATGAGCATGGATGATACATAAATTTCAATCCCATCTATAATTTTATCTGGTACCATTAATTCAAATTAGATATATTGCATAGGATGTGCCAACAACCATTCTTATAACCAACTGTTTAACTGCTTGGGTGACCATTTAATGGTGAATTCCAGGTTCTTAACATAGCAACATCCATTTTGACCTTTTCCTTCTTTCTTGTCTTCTTAATGACTTTTTTGCTCTTTTCACATATGATGTTCTTGATGTCATCCCACAACTCTCCTGGTCTTCGGTCTTTAGTGTCCAATGCATCAAATCTGTTCTTCAGATGATCTCTAAATTCAGGTGGGATAAATTCAAGGTCATATTTTGGTTCTTGTGGACTTGTTTTCATTTTCTTCAACTTCAGTTTGAATTTGCATATCAGTAATTGATGGTCTGTTCCACAGTCTGCCCCTGGCCTTGTTTTCACTGATGATATGGAGCTTTTCCATCTTCTCTTTCCACAGATGTAGTCAATTTGATTTGTATGTGTTCCATCTGGCAAGGTCCATGTGTTTAGTCGTCTGTTATGCTGTCTAAAGAAGGTATTTGAAATAAACAAATCATTGGTTTTGCAAAAATCTATCATTCGTTCTCCAGCATCATTTCGATCACCAAGTCCAAATTTTCCAACTACTGGACCCTCCTCTTTGCTCCCAACTTTTGCATTCCAATCCCCAGTAGTGAGCAATACCTCTTGATTGCATGTTTG